CCCCAAAACCCCAAAACCCCAAAACCCCAAAACCCCATAAATGAATTAGATTTTTCATCTAAATTTTCTAAATAAATCTATATTTATCAATTTTTATTTGATTTTTATTTCTTATTAAAGTTATTGGATATTCTTCTTGATAATGTCGACACATATCACAATATCTTTAGTGAAAGCAAAGTCTCTTGCTTTAAACTAGTTTATTGATCTTTCCTGCCATTTTCAATACTTTATATCTGCCTATACATGAATTTAAAACATTATTAGTTTAATAAGTTATATTATATTGTTTGAAGAATAGATTATTGTTTAGATCTTAGAGAAAAATCTTAAGTTAATCATATGGTTTGTTGTTGCTGTGTGCTGTTCAGCTAATGTCTCATTCCATTTGCTCCTCGTCCATCTCTTCCTCGTCTTCGGCGGTGGCATCTTGATATTGTTGATACTCGGAAACGAGATCGTTCATGTTTGACTCAGCTTCAGTGAATTCCATCTCGTCCATACCTTCACCAGTGTACCAATGGAGGAAGGCCTTTCTTCTGAACATAGCAGTGAATTGTTCACCAACTCTCTTGAACATCTCTTGGATGGCAGTTGAGTTACCGAGGAAGGTGACGGCCATCTTGAGTCCCTTTGGTGGGATATCGCAGACTGATGACTTGATGTTGTTGGGGATCCACTCGACGAAGTAAGATGAGTTCTTGTTTTGAACGTTAAGCATTTGTTCATCGACTTCTTTGGTTGACATTCTACCTCTGAAGAGAGCTGAGGCGGTAAGATATCTACCGTGTCTTGGGTCTGATGCGCACATCATGTTCTTGGCATCGAACATTTGTTGGGTGAGCTCTGGGACGGTGAGGGCTCTGTATTGTTGGGAACCTCTTGAGGTAAGTGGGGCGAATCCAGTCATGAAGAAATGGAGTCTTGGGAATGGAATAAGGTTGACAGCCAACTTTCTGAGATCAGAGTTCAATTGACCTGGGAATCTGAGGCAGCATGTAACACCTGAAATACCAGCTGAGACCAAGTGGTTAAGATCTCCGTAGGTTGGGGTGGTGAGCTTAAGGGTTCTGAAGCAGATATCGTAGAGGGCTTCGTTATCGATACACATAACCTCATCAGCGTTTTCGACGAGTTGATGGACTGATAGGGTGGCGTTGTATGGCTCAACGACGGTATCTGAGACCTTTGGTGATGGGACGACTGAGAAAGTGGCCATGATTCTGTCTGGGTACTCTTCTCTAACCTTGGAGATGAGGAGGGTTCCCATACCTGAACCGGTACCACCACCGAGTGAGTGGGTGATTTAGAAACCTTGGAGGCAATCGCAACCTTCAGCTTCCTTTCTAACAACGTCGAGAACTGAATCGATGAGTTCGGCACCCTCAGTGTAATGACCCTTGGCCCAGTTGTTACCAGCACCTGATTGACCGAAGACGAAGTTGTCTGGTCTGAAGAGTTGACCGAATGGACCAGCTCTAACTGAATCCATGGTACCTGGTTCCAAGTCCATAAGGACTGCTCTTGGTACGTATCTTCCACCAGTGGCTTCGTTGTAGTAGACGTTGATTCTCTCAAGTTGGAGATCTGAGTCACCATGGTAGGTACCAGTTGGGTCGATTCCGTGCTCGTCTGAGATGACTTCCCAGAACTTGGCTCCGATTTGGTTACCGCATTGACCACCTTGAATGTGAACGATTTCTCTCATTGTGACTTGAGTTTTGTTTTGAAAATTATTTGAATTATATATTAGTAGAGAGGGCGCATATTTATAACAATTAAATTCAAACGGATGGACAGGATTGAATTTTACTTTACTGATCACTTTAGATATATATTACTTATTTACTTGAAATATTTTACAATCTGAGACACAGGGGTTTTGGGGTTTTGGGGTTTTGGGG